TACTACAGTCAGAAGCATTCTGTCATCTCTCGAAACCTTCTGACAGCTGGACTGTTGGGTGTTAAGAAAACACTGCAGAGGATAAGGGAGTGTTTTTACTGGGTTATATGCCAAAAATGTGTAAAGTATTAGTGTACATGGGTGAACTATGCTGTGAACGAAAACATTCATGAAAGAAACAACATGTGAAACTATAGCAATATTCTGATAGAGCAATATTTGAGAGAGTTGCTATTGATGTGCCTATGTTTAGTTCTCTACCATAAAGTAACAGTCGGAATATATACATTCAAATGGCCAGAAGCATATGCTAACCCTAATCATGAAGACGAAACTCTGACAAGGAAGCTTATCAACAAATTTGTTTCAAGATTAAAGTTGCTTATGTAACTTTACTCAGAGCAGGGATAAAACTTTTAACCAAAGATGTGCCAAATCCGTGGGATAAAAAAACCTAGAGTAATGGCCTTTTATCCATTCTCTGATGGAATGGTGTGGAGATACAATCTTAAACTTATATATCAATTAGCCATTTATGTGGATAGATATCAGAAAACGTGGAATCAAGAACTTTCTCTCTTAATCGCGAGTTATTTAACAGCAGTGCATTAAACTACAGGAAAAACACTAGGATTACAAATATTTGGAAGAAAACGTAAAATGACATTAGACCTTTTGTACTCTGTATAATCATTCAGCAGAGTCTTACCAGAGTATGCAAAGAGCCTAAGAAATACCATTGATCTCATAACGACTTTAACCAAGAAAGACGTAAATCAGCTAGTTACAAGATGAAAAGTCATTACGATGTAAATACTGACAAGGCCAAATTTCATTGTGGTGACATGGCATGGCTGTACAATCCATGAAACAATACAGATCAAAGTCAAAATTGAGTAGACGTTGGAAAGAATTCTATAATGTAGAATTAATGATGTGGTTTATAGAATCCAGAAAAAAACGTGATACAAGCCAAAGGGCATCCCCGTGATCGTCTTTGGAAGTACGTCAGTGAAAGAATGACCAACTTGTTAGCTTTAGAGAAGCCTTTACTAGTCATAAGTTAACTTGCTGAAGAGCCCAAGGTTCTTGACGAGACACTTTCAGAGAAGATTGTACCAGTGGTAAGTCAACCTGTTGAAGATTCCAAGATTCCTGTTGTGACCACATCCAGAGTATCACCAAGGATGGTGCCGCCCTTGAGCATCTACCTGGAGAGAACTGACCTAATGACAAGACAGCAAGTAGCCATAAAAGACAAAATGTCATTTATCTTTAATGATTTATATACATGTAGTTGCCTACCATAATGTGATATAATTTTCAAATTATAATGATATTATATTTTTTTATGAAATTAGTGAATTAGTTATTTGAAAGTAAAAATAAACCAAACCATAAGGTAAGATAATAAAAAGTAAAATAAGCATTTTGAATCACATGGGATAGTATTCGCTCCTTTTCAATACACTATTGATTTCCCACAGTTCTCCGTTAAATGACGTCACCATGACGCTAGGATAAGGGGAATGCGCCATTTTGAAAATTTCTTGTCCAAAGCGGAGGGGGATTGAATGCAATTTGTGAATATTGTACTTTTAATATTTAAAAATCATTTGTTAGACATATTTCTCGCTCATCACAAAAGGTTTTTTAAACAATTATGTCAGGTAAAAGCGGGTTTCCACCTTTTTATGTAACAGTAGAGTAACTCGGTAAAAATTCGTTTAAACTTTTTGTACGCTTTTTTTCGTAGTAGTATTACTGTTATTGTTAATATTAATAGGGTTAGTATTTCTATTTTTAATATTTATTTATACTATAGTATACCTTTGTAAGTTGGTGCAAGCACAGTGACGTTTGAAGCTCACCAGGTTTCAAGAGATATTTATGTCCGTTTTTTTTTCTTAATATTTTGTAGGAAATGGAGAGATACAGTGGTGTTTTTCTCAGGTCAAAGGGACATCAGATGACGATGTAACTGAAGGTAAGTGGAATTTTTAAATTATAATTTCAAAACTTACAAGTTACAGAGGAACTAAAGAACTTAAAAAGTAAGTCAACCTTTTTTTATTATTAATCTTCCAAATTTACTTACCAACATAATATATGAAACAACAAGGTGACTGTTGGTCCATCTAAGCTACCCCATTCACCAAAAACAACACAAAAATTCAAAGCTAGCCCTTATCATTCAAATACTTATCAAGCCGTCACTTAAGCTCCCATAGATTTACTGCATCCACCAGATCCAAAGGCCAGCTACTATTTTTTGTGTATCTAATCCTGATCTCTGACATTAAAATTCTCATCCATTCTCTTCTTAAGTGCCTTCATTTTTGCAGCTTTTAAGTTCTACTGTTACCACGCTTGAAGGTCAACTATTCCATAGGCAACCATCTTATTAGAAAAGTAACTTTCCAGCTTAACCAGTTATGGGACAGCAGGATGACTTCGTGTTACCCTTATTTGTTTTCTTCTCACATTTAAAATACTTAACATAACTACATGAAACTTGGTATGTAATTTTAAAAAAATACACAGCCTTTGCATAAAAAAGTTAGGAATTTAGTTCAGTATTTGTAAATGTTTAGGTTGTGAATTTTTGAAACTGTCATGAATTGCCATTTTTGGAAAAAATTAAAAACTTTAATCTTGGAGTTTTTGTTTATTTTTAATTTGTGCCTGAGATCACGTATATGTATCCAATAGTTATTTTTTCAATAAACCTGTAATTCTGTTTGCATTCCAATAACAGCATACTCATTTTCTCGTACATTAATACAAATTCATATTAAGTAACAATTAAAAATTATGAAAGAAACCTGGATTTCTATGAATATTATTAAACAAAAAGTTTCATTTTATAACTTGTTTTGTTTTCTTGAATTATATCTATTTATATCTATTTTTCTTAATTAAGCATTTGTGTAGCTACAATAAATCACTGACTGTTTGAAACACAACTTAACACTTGTATCCTAGACCTACACTGATATAGGTGAAATGTTTCCAACTATATTTTTGATCAATCTCAATTTCTCTCTAATAATTATAGTTTGTTTTTAGTAACTAAGAAGTTTTTATACTTGTATGTGTTGTTTCAAAAGAAACTATACAAATTCAGGTCTGTAGCTTGTTCCTAAGTTTTGTACACTTTATATTAGAATCCTTTGTTTTTCACTACAAGAAATTTTGCTAGTAACTTTCTTAGAAACTATACATTATGGTCTACCCCTGTTTATTTACTTTACAGTGACATAGATAGAGAAGAATCTTTTTCTATCCGATTATTTTTAGCCATTGGTTCTACCTTGTTTCTAGGGTAATATTTATTAGTAAGTGTCTAACCTTCTTGTTGTAGCATCATAAAAGCCTCTCAACACAGGATACTTGAAATATTCATTGGGGAAAAAAAGGAGTTGTGAGAAATGCGGAGTCTGAGTAAATATAAACCTATATCTTGGGAATGGCAGAAAAATTCTAAAAATCATCTAAGTGCATTGTTTGATGCTACGTAGAGATCAAAGTTCAAGCATTTTAAAATTTTTCTCTTAAAAGTATTCTAAATGAATTTTGCAAAGTTAACAGATGTAACTTTTTAGATATTTTTGAGTAAGAAAATAAAAGCTTTTGAAATAGTTATAATTATTTTTTACTTAAATTGTGAAATTTGATATTCCAGAGAGCTGCTCTGTGGTCCTAATAGAGTTAACTGGAGTTGTGTCTGATTTTCCTTATTTGGAACTTGTGTCCTCTTGTCTGACTTCCTGCAGTTTTTGTATGAGTAATTTAATCTGTATTTATGGTTTCCAATCTCTAACAACCTTAACCTTAATTACGACCTCTTCATCAATTTACTTTTTCACAGAAAGGCTAAGAATTACAAAAGTAGTGATAATCATGTTCTTAGAGTCCAACTACACCAAATCACTATATTATTCATATTTAGTTTAAATGTAATATTTTGAAAAAAAAAGTCAACAGATCTTTAAGATATGACATTGACCTTTTAAATCCACGATGAGTATTTATGATAATACAAAACTTGTCCAAATGCCATTACAGAGTCTCTAATTATAGAAACTAGACATTTCCCAACCAGAATAAGACAGAATTACTTAGACATGTTATTCATCCTTACCATGACTCAAAATTTATATTTATAACAATTTTCTTACTTGATCTTGATCACATTATTAGAGTTGTCGTTTGTGAAAGCTGATGATATAAATAATGCCCAGACTACTGCCACGTCTCATATCCCTGCTGACTTGACGAGCCATAGTATTGGGTAAAAGGCTTTGTCAGCACTTGATATTGCAGATATAGTGTGTTTGATGTATTATAAAATATTCTTCTTCACTTTCACTTGTAAATTCTTAGAATTGTCTTCCCCATTTGAAAGCTGTGTGACATAAGCTATTCTTTAGTCTTCTGGTATGTCATCATTATTAATCTATTCATTAAGAATTAATAAATGGTTCATAAATTTATATGTTTTCTAAATAACTTAATCCTAACTGCATTTAAGAATATTAGATCTGCTTAAATGAGATCTTGTGTCATATATCACACATCTACCCTTGGAAATACTAAGAAAAAAATAACTTGGATATTTGGCCATCTTATAATAATCAACCAAAGCCCTCCCATTTTCATTTTATAAGTGTTTAAATTTTCATTTTAGAATAGCATCTCTATAACATCTTTAAAAAGGTGTACTGTTTTAGCATTTCCCACCTGTTTCTTGTATGTTGTAAAAACAAGTTGTATATGCAGTATAAGATTAAAAGTATTACCTAGAAGGGCCTATTTCATTCATTAGTATCACGTAACTTAATCTGTTAATCAGAATGATGAATAAATCAGCTAATGTCATAAAGAAAATAAACTAATTGAAATTAGTGTTTCTCATTATTACTGTTTTCAATTATTGTAACCATGCAAGTAATTGAAATATTTCTTTTATGTGGGTATTGAAACCTGATTTTAAGTGTTATAAGTTTTCTGTTATTCAGCTTTGAGGCATCATAGTGTGATGGTTAATGGGGTTGCCTTGTGATCTGAGGGTTACAGATTTGGTTCTTGTTGCCACCAAACTTCCTTGCACTTAGTTGCAGAGGTATTATATATTTGTTTTTGTGTTATGACAAATCTATTCCTCTGTCCTTAATTTTGAATTGCCAACTAAAGGCAAATTACATTACCCACGAGCTACTCCGAGCTGCCCACATGTGTCTTGTGAAATTTTTTTTATTATTATTATTGCTTATTTTATGTAATCTAACCTTAACTAACCTAAAGAGATCTCTATTTTTACATTTTAGTTACTTTTATAATAATAAATAAAGAATAAACATAAAAAAACAAGAAGTAAAGTATTAGGTTGTCAAGAAATTAATTTCGCTTTTTTTAGATGAAAAAACCCGAGTGACTTATATACAAAGCATCACTTTCTGTGGATGGAGTCCAGGTTTGGGGTCGGAAGTGGTTTTTGTCTAGGGTTGAGTCATCGTTTTTGGCATTTAATATTCACATAGAGAATCCATTTTTCATCATTGGTGATAATTCTGTCCAAAAATGGTTCACACGCCAGAAGAGACAAAGCAACATTCACACATTGGAAATGATGATCATCGGAGAGTTTGTGAGGCACCTTCTTTATGGAGTTTACCCATATTCCTTAGATACTTGCATATTGTTTCATGAGAGACATGCAATTTCAGGGACATTTCACGAGTGTGTTGCCTTGGGTTAGACTCAATAGCATCAATATCAATTCCATGTCTGCCCCTGCCATCACAGTTTTTAAGGCTAAAGTCACCTGAATAAAATTTGCTGAACCACTGTTGATACTTATGAATGTTCAAAACATTTTCATAAACTTCTTGGATATTCTTTGTGGCTACAGAGGCGTTGTTTCCCTTTTCCTATTCAAACAGCTTTACATGCAGAATGTGTGTCTCGTCGTGTGCCATCACTATTAGGGATTAGAATGTACTAAGCTTTACACATTATATAGGCTACAATAACGTGACGTATAGGCTGTTCATTTAACTATTATACATTAATTTCTTGACGACCTAATAGTTACCCGAGTATTCTTTTTTTTTTGCTGTTGACTGTCAATGAAATTTAACCCAAATTTCTTATACAAATGGTAGTATGTCATTAAATAATTATTTAATTAAAATAATGCACCAAATAACATAGACTAAAAACTTGCATAAAGCAGACAATTTTCTCTTAACAATCACAAGCTACCCGTTGTGATTCCCGTGGGAAATAAAGTTGTATTACAAGTGAAATTGACTATTCTGTGTTCACAATACAACATTATAAAATACGTCATTTGATAGATGGAAACCTTGACTTTCTATTGGTTATAGGTAGTATATAATAAAACATAAGAGAGAACTATTAACAAATCCTGAAAAAGAGGATGTGACAGGTGGGTGTGGCAAGACGGATCTGATTTTCTATTTGATAGCTATGTAACCAAACAAAATTGATTTTATAGTGAGTATTTTATGTAGAATTTCATAGTTTCTGGGGGGGATGTGTGTGTGAATAAAATAAAGAAGAGAAGATACCTACAGAAAGTGTCATGAGTGTAATACTAGTGGAAATTCAGTATTTTTTTAAATATTGCCTTATAGAATTAAGAACTTAAAACTTATATACTATTAAAATATGGATTATTAGCTAAGATTTTATGCTATACTAATTAGTATAACATAAACAAAAAGTATTTTAATAAAATTTTGAAAGTAAGACACTAAAACCTTGTGTCTTGCACAGTATAGGATACCCGGGATGAGAGAATTAGTATTGACTAATATGTTTTTACATTGTGTTCCATTGTTATTTATATAACTTGCATGGCTTTATTCTGTATTTATTTCTCTATTTTGTGTTTCTTTGATGTTTGTAACATGCACACCTTTTTTATGAATTTTTGTTCTGATGAAAATTGTGACAGAC